CTAAAAGTAGAATTTCCGTCATTGTAAGATTTTTTATAATGTCTTTGTTATCTGAAGGGTTAGCAGTCTTAAATGTTCTATTGTTTGTTTTCTTGTCTCTTTTCGTCTGTAATGGTTGTGGATGTTGGTGCGTTGCTTTGGAATTGAATTTCCTAGTGATATTTTAGTTTAAATTTCTGGTTCATTTATGTGAAATACTTGTCTTCTGGACTCTGATTTCTTATACTTTTTTGAATTCTTGTAGATGATATAGGATTCTCAATGTTTCATAGGGGTGGAGATAATGATGGTTCGGCAGAAAATGGGGGTGGGTCTGTGCCTCCACAGAACATGATGCGTGCTTCAAATCAAGTCCAAGATGCAGTACCTATAAATGCCCCACCGATCAATCAGCCGGTTCTGAACAGAGCAAACAGGGATCTTGGACTTGATGGTGATGATATGGACATCCCATGGTGTGATCTTAACATAAAAGAGAAGATTGGAGCAGGTATTGGTTTTACCCAAACAAGCAGTGATTTAGTTTGTGAAAAAGAAATATGAAATTCTTATGTAAGTGGGTTTGCTTTGGGATCTGGTCTCAAAAGAAAAAAAAAACTGCCATTTAGATGTTAATTTCTTCTCTGAGAGTTCGGAATTATTTTATCTGTCCACTTATATTCCTACTGCTCTTTCAGGTTCGTTTGGCACTGTTCATCGTGCTGAGTGGCATGGCTCGGTAAGAACTTTTTATCTAAATTTTGCAAGGCTGATTTCCGAAACTATGGTTTGAACTAGTGATACTTGGATCTGCTGGATGATAGAAGGGGCAAATTATTTAATCTGTCTAGTCTGACATAACTTCTAAATCATAGATTTTAATGAAAAAGTATCCTCAAATTAGTTTTATGTCTGTCTATCAAAAATATATCTTCCTGTTTGAATCTTCCATTGCTCTCACGAGAGGAATTCTAACTTTGATTATTGCAAAATTGTTCACCACTAATTTCAGGATGTTGCTGTGAAAATTCTCATGGAGCAAGACTTCCATGCTGAGCGTGTCAATGAGTTCTTGAGAGAGGTGCTTAACCTAAAATTTTCCCCTTTTTTTGGTAACAATCTTGGTGTACTAATTCCCTTCATGATCTTGATTCACCGTTAGGTTGCAATAATGAAACGCCTTCGCCACCCTAATATTGTTCTCTTCATGGGGGCTGTCACTCAACCTCCAAATTTGTCAATAGTGACAGAATATTTGTCAAGGTACTGTTCACATAGATTGTGTCAGCTGTAGAGTTTTTAGCCTATTATATTGCTAATGCAATCGTCTCTTTTAAACAGAGGTAGTTTATTCAGACTTTTGCATAAAAGTGGAGCAAGGGAGCAACTGGATGAGAGACGCCGCTTGAGTATGGCATATGATGTGGTATGTTTGACACCAAACCTGAACAGGTTTCAAATTGGGATGGTTACTTTGTGATCATGGGTATATTTCTCATCGAATTTTCTTGCCATTTCTCTGTTGCAGGCTAAAGGAATGAATTATCTTCATAATCGCAATCCTCCGATTGTACATAGAGATCTAAAATCACCAAACTTGTTGGTAGACAAAAAATACACTGTCAAGGTTTGAATCTGAATTACAAGATTGTTTTGTTCAGTGTCTTGTCTTGTAGTATATATCATGCTTCTTATGTTAAACCATTTTTGGGACATTGCATACCTATGAAAGCCTTGTTCCCAAGCTATTGTCTGAAAAGGCAAGGCATCTCTCTTGCAAAAGACATTATTACTTCTGACTCGTCGGTTTGTCTTGAAATTTCAGGTTTGTGATTTTGGTCTCTCGCGGTTAAAGGCCAGCACGTTCCTTTCATCAAAGTCAGCAGCTGGAACCGTAAGTTCAGTTAATTTGAAGCTGGAAACAAGCTGAACAAGTTAACTCTATTCCGGTCCTATTGACTATTTTTGTTCGGTAGGAGATAAACAAAATTGATTGGGTTTTTGATTTATCAGCCCGAGTGGATGGCACCAGAGGTCCTGCGGGATGAGCAATCTAATGAAAAGTCAGACGTGTACAGCTTCGGGGTCATCTTGTGGGAGCTTACTACATTGCAGCAACCATGGGGTAATTTGAATCCTGCTCAGGTACTCTCCACTCCAAAAATATAATATTGCACCAGAAAGTTGCTCAATCACAAGTTTACATAAGCAAATGACGTTTGTAACACGCTGTATTGGTCATTTAAATAAAAATTGGTACACAGGTTGTAGCTGCGGTTGGCTTCAAGAATAAACGGCTTGAGATCCCACGGAACTCGAATCCCCAAGTTGCAGCAATAATTGAGGGTTGTTGGATAAAGTACGTTTCAAAAGTTCTTTTCTTTTTCTTCTGAAACTTCATTTTTGATTCCTCCATTGAATCATCCTTCATTTTGCATTGCCAGTGAGCCGAGGAACCGTCCATCATTTGCAGCTATAATGGAATTGCTAAGACCATTGATCAAATCAGCTGTTCCGCCTTCCAACCGCTTGGATCTGTGAAACACCGGCCCACTTCCAAAACACGATATTAATAATTGATGATGTGCACATATACTCTCAGCATTATTTTGCTTCCCAGGAGGGAGACACTAGTAAGGATAGCTGTAAGGTACATGCCTCGTGACTCGTGAGCTACCGGTCGTATCTTATACAACCGCTGTTCTATACCACTCTTTTTTTATTCCGATTTTTGTTTTGCCTTCTCTTTTGTTGTTATGTTTCTTTGTATGTTGCAGATTGATAAAAGTGTACATGACTACTTGTCACAGGGAGAGGGAAAAAAAATCAATAGTAGTGGAAACAGTAAGGGATATTCTATTATCTACCTCCAGGGGTAAGCAGTATATTGTTGTAAGCCTTTTGTAGTAGTGACACTTGAAGCTATTCTTTTTTGTCTAGTTCTATATATATATTGTTTCCTTAAAATTACCTTGGTGTACATTTAAGCTACCAAATTAGTAGCGCTATTAGTAAGTAAGAGAGTCCAACTCCAAACCAAGAAAAATAGTCGTTTGCAAACTCAGTATGATTCATTGGATCATACATTTATTTGTCAACTGTGAAATTCGCACGAGATTATCATGGTTTTAAGGATTGAAGTAGAACTTATTTATGAAAACGAAGAGTGACAAGTGAAGAAGAAAAATATCTCCAAGTTGTGAAAATATCTACCAAGAATTTTGTGTTGCCTTCACGAGGAAGTAAATTTGACCTCATTTATTGAAAACGACTATACCTTAATTACTCGTTTTCCATAACCCCCTATATATTAATTGAGAAACATTTGAAAAGATGTAACCTCAAGTTTGTATTAATTAAAAAGTAACCTTGCTTAGTTGTCAATCAATTAGCATACCAATTAAACTGACGTGGCAGCTTTAGGTTCAATTGAAATTTGCTAGGGAAAAATAATTAGAGACGCATATAACGCATGTAACATAGTTTATATATTTATATA